GCAAAGGTCAGGAGGATGGACTCATGGCCTCAGCATGTAGCATAAGTGTTAGTTTGATTGGTTAGAATGCTGTTCATTCACGTATCATATATACTGTGTTGACTGATTTACAGCCTCTTAGGCTGGTACATGCATGACCTGTGGAGGAAGTCATGAGGTCCAATTTGGGCTTTTACATGAAGCATTAAAAGCCAGCAAGCAACTCTTACTGGCAGAGTGATTCTGCCTTTTTTGTTATAATGTATCATAACATCATTGGCTCCTCTTCCAGCACAAATTTTGTTCAAAGATCAGAAGAGATTCTTAGTGTTGTCTTTAGCATCCAGAAAATCTAAGAAGAAACCTAATCTGATCTAGTATCTGCTGCTCCTGACTCTTGCCACAGAAAGGTATGTATACACCTGAAGCTTCCAGCACTATAATGTTCAGGTGGCATTTATAGTATAAATTATGTATGAGTGAAACGAAGGGTATTTTAACAGCAGATAGCTGAAAAGCATTGCAATGTACTCCGAATCCAGCAGCATTGCCTGGAGCTACTCTGAGGCCTCTTTTTAAACTCAGGCATTAGCACAAAGCACACCTCTGACTGCAGGCATTTAAAGATCAACAGGGGCCAAAAAAGCTTTTAAGATCCAATGAAACCAGGAAAACAACCATGTTCCCTTTCAGTGTCAGGTTAGATTGCCATCTTATGAGTGCAGCTATTCCAGGTACAGAGTGCTTAGTGGTTTGGGTCTTGTTGTGTGGAGAAAGTGTTCCACAGCAAACATCTGTTTCTTTCACCTGCAAACCACAATGTGCTGTGAAAAAGCAGGACTGTAGCCACAGAGACCCAAGGGGGTGTGGGAAATCTGGCTCAGTGGGATGAGCATGGTTTTCTGAAACATGGTATCAAAAAGAGCACTTAAAAGGAGAGGATGCTTTTAAAGCACATGATACACCACAAATTGGGCAGATTAGGTTGCTTTTAAGCTTAAAGTTTTTACGGGATGTTCTCAGTATTGTCATAATAGTAATATTGGAGTTTTGTATCAGGACAACATGAGGGTATTTTTTTCTTTCTTTTTTCTTCTTTTTTCTTCTGTTACTATAATATTGTCATTGCTTTCCAAAATACAATTAATTATCAGTTGGAAAAAAAACATTGTATAGAGCACATGGCATATATTTATACACTGGGTACAGCTGACATTTTTCTTTTCCATTCATCAGTGTCATTGCTTCATAAGGGACCTTGGGGTTATGGCTGATCACAGGATGAACAAGAGCCACCAATGTGATGCTGTAGTCAACAAAGCTAATAGCATACTGGGATGTACTAGCCGATGCATCGTGAGCAGGACTAAGGAAGTGATAGTTCCTCTTTACTCCATGCTGGTGAGACCCCAGCTGGAGTACTGTGTCCAGTTCTGGGTGCTACACTTCAAAAAAGACGTGGAGAACCTTGAAAGGGTCCAGAGAAGGACCACAAGAATGATTAAGGGTCTGGAGGACAACCCTTATGAGGAAAGACTAAGGGATCTGGGACTGTTCAGCCTGGGGAAGAAAAGACTGAGGGGGGACTTGGTGGTCATCTGTAAGTATGTAAGGGGTGAATATCAGGAGCTGGGGAAAAAAACGATTCACTACGACACCCACCAGGGCAGGGCAAGGACCAATGGCCATAAACTGTTAGCAGATAGGTTCAGGTTGGATGTAAGGAAGAACTTCTTTATGGTAAGAGTGACCAGAATCTGGAATAGACTTCCCAAGGAGGTGGTGCAGTCCGCAACCTTGGAAGTCTTTAAGAGGAGAGTGGACAGACACCTTGCTGGGACCATTTGATCTCAAAACCATTCCTGCCCAGAGCAGGGGAGTTGGACTTGATGATCTTTCAGTGTCCCTTCCAGCCCTTAATTTCTATGATTCTATGATTCTGTTTTACAATTTAAATTCATATTTCATGTGCATGGGTACTGTCATCAGGCCAGATTCTTAACTAGCAAAAGTATCATTGCCCAGTTAAAGTAAACAGAGTTATGATTATTTAATCCAGTCAAGGATGTGACCCCTTAATTCTTTCTGGGGGAAAAAATGTCACTGTAGAAACAGCTGACCCATTAACAGAGCTGTGTTGACAACCACTAGGATTTCACCCAAAAGTTATTGTAAATTTGATCTGTTTGTTGGCTGTCCCAAGCCTTGTAGGAATTGTGCGTCTTTGAGGTGTAATGTCCATTGGTTTTGATAAATTCTGTGACAGACCTTGTGTTGTTTTTATTTATCAAGTGAATCATGAAGCATAGCACTGTACCCCCAACAAGTTCTCTGCTCTGGTGCTGTGAGGGTACTGGGCAAAGTTACCATTTTATTAACTAAAATTGTCTCAAAGCCAACAAGTTCAGAATCAAGAAGGTGGGAAAGAAGAAACAGAAGCTTTCAGGGGTGCGGCACAGGATTACAAATTGTCAAAATGCAATGGAACAGCAGAACAAGATTTTTAAAAAAAGAAATTACTGTTGAAAACAAAGAGAGCAGTCTAGGACCACCTGGTTAGCATCACAGGACCTTTAAAAAGGTGGTGGAGGAAATAAAGATAGAGGAATTAAAATTTGCTAGTCGCAGCACACACACTAAGAAAGTTTCTAAAAACCTTGACCATTTGCTGAATAATGGAATGGCTGCAGATGAGTAACAGTCAGTCTGGATTCACAAAAGGGCAGTCATGCCTCAAAAAGGAGGACCAACATGACACAAGCTACAAGAATATCATTATTGTGCCAAAAAATGGAGGGGCACATTCTCTTTCTAAAGCATGGGAAAAGGTAGCTCAGTAGCCATCTTCATACATCAGGACTGAATGCCACAAATCCCTGGTATCCCTGGCTCCAATCCCAGATGGGTTAATGTAAACTTTCTTCCTTTCATCCTGCTGCTTCCACGGTCTTCCTCAGTGATCTTGTGCACGCTTGGGTCCTGGCTTCACCAGTCTACCAATGGAGATTATAATACTTAGCTATTCTCCAGGGCTGCTCTGAGGGAATGTTTGCTGCTTATAAAGTACTTTGAGCTCCTTGAATGGAAATTGGTGGAACAGCAAACCACACTTTTCTGGCATGCATTTTCAAACAAATTATGAGTCAGCCATATAACATCGGCAGACTCCTAATGTAAGCCTTTACAGTAAGGAAATGCTAAGAGATACTTTGACATCCGAGCAGTTTGGGATCCAGGGAGAATCAAGTCCCAAACTGAACATTATTGTCATTTTAAATCAATGGCCATTGATCAAAAAGAGTAGTACTTGTGTTGACAGAAATTGCTAAGTGATCTAATAGGGTATCAAACGTAAAATACATGTTTGTCATTCTTCATAACAGGATGGCTTATGTCAGGTGCATAGAAATGTTAGTAGCTGAATGATGACAGTTGTGGCTGGGAGTTCCAAGGCCCCATTTCTCTGAAATCTCCCTTTTGCTATTTTATAAAGTACCTTAAATGATCATTAAGGACCTGGTCCCAGAAGTCCCACTTAAAGCAACTTCCATTGACCTTCTGTGGCTAGCTAGGGGCTGCTAGATCAGGACTATAGTGAGACAGCTGCCAAAGATACCTTATTGAACACCAGCTTATATCCTAGCCAGATGCAAAGATAAAATGAGCAGGGCTAAGATATAGAGCATATAGAAGAGAGCATTGCCGTCATGAACCTACAGTGCTTGAGGGATACATGGGATGTGATTAATGTTTTCTTGAGCTTGTTTTACTGATATGGCATGTGTAGTCTCTATGTATAGGTACCACCAAGCTGTATTTAGCCTTGTCATTATTATGTCTGCATGAATTGTTATATTTGATATAAGTGTAATTTTGCGGGCAGTGATTAACTTAAGTGTTCCTTGCCCATTCACAGGTGGAACAGGTAATCACTGAGAATTAGGATTTGACATGAGTCTGTTTACTTACCTCCCTTATAAACATGCTTTGAGGTGCATGAACCTTCTAGACATCTATGTGTTTACATTTCAAAGGAAGAGACCCATAAGAATACCACATGGAAGGATAGTTCCCACAATGGGAAAATTAAGTGAGAGACAGTATCTTTAGAATATTGGATTAGTATTTTTCATGTCTGAAAGGATGCAGAGGCCTTAGTTAGAGCAGGAAAGATTTGTTAGTCTGGTAAGCATGTGTCTTTGAGCAGCAGCAAGTTCTATGCCTAGTGTGGACTCCCCAAGAATCCAATGGGTGATGTATAAAAGTGGTGAGATAAGAAACCAAACTTAAGCTTTGCCTTGAGAGCAAGTTGTGATCTTTAGTTTTTTTCAACCTATAGGGAAACACTGAGGTCCCCAGCCAGCCAGCTGAGTAAAGCAGGCTGACAGGGAACTTGCAGGAGGCCCTGGCAGAAAAGTGAGAGGCAGAAGCTGCTTTCTAATCTGTTGAGCTGGATAGGAGCTGAAGTCTTAGGTTTAAGAGGCAGGGTAAGATTAGATTGTTGTTCTGACATTTTTTTTTGTTTTTTTCTTATATCTTTGTATCTCAACAAAGAAATATAGTTACTGATTTCTGATTTTTACTCTCATTCTCATAATACAACTTTTTGTTATCTTTTTTACTCATGGTCGGTGCTATTTGTTTCCAGAGCATCTGACCATACAGGAAGGCCTCTTCCACAGAAGGAGGAAATCCATCTTTTCTGAGGGGATGACTGGACAAGGGCATGATTCTTCTAGCTGGCAAAATCCCCTTTTCTAAGAGCTGGCGAGACGTAGGTGAGGCGGGTAGAGCTGAGATTCTAGAGGTCAGGGAGGTGACCTTTGAAGCATCTCAGTCTGCTCTCAGTGGTCAAGCTGCAGATAGCAAATATTGGAGCCAGAAGGGTACCCCCAGAGGTATGAAAACACCCCAAAAGTGTGTCTCAAAGGCCACATCTGGGGCCAGGGCATGTCACAATTATATAGCAGTGTACTAGAACAGTGTAGAATCTCTAATAACATTCTTTCTCACTCTTTCAGAGGCCATGGTCAAGGATGATATGAATAATTACATCAGCCAATATTACAATGAGCCCAGTAGTGGTAAGTTTCCTTTAAAGATTTAGATTAACAGTGAATTTCAGAGCCTCATTTCTGATTGCTGAATTGCATTGCTTGGTGCAGAACAAGAAAGCATGAGCAGTTAATAGATCCATTGTGAAATTAAACCAATCTTTATGAACCTCCTGTCCTTTCCATGAAAGTTTTTGTCAAGATGAAACTCTCAAGGATAAAAGGCTTGATGGTGCTCCTCCCGCAGAAGTCAATTACAATGGTTTAAAAGATCCAGGTGTGTGATTTTATTGGAGTAAGACAGAGTGGTTCAAATGGGCTTAGAAAAGAAAACCGTGGAGAAGTAAGTGAATGGAAAGCAAATTGGAACATAACTTAGACAAGCCTGATGCTGGGAACCTTTTAGAAAGGTTAAACTGAGTGAAGGAAGGATAAGAAAACTCAATGCCAGACAAAACTGACATGTGAGTAGTGGCACTAGGTCAAACTCCAAATGGATTTCTATATTTTAAGGATTATATTGTAACCATTAAGAGGGTCATAAGATCTGAGTTTGAAATAGGCACATACTGTACCACATTTTATACATGAGTATCCAATATGATAGATTTTAAAAGCTATGAAATAAAGCAGATATTCAAAGCATCATAGGTGACTCTGTGCAAAGTTTGTTTATAAAAAAAATATAGGTTTTGTGTGGTATTTTTACCTTTCACTTTAAAAATGTACTCCCAGCTATGTGGTTTTTTTTTTTTAAAAAGGGAATATTTCAGGTCACAATCATCTTCCTATATCTTTGTATTCAAAGACTTCATAACAAGATGCTTGTGAAAAGGAGTGTTTGGATGCACATATCATTTTTGTGATTATAACTACTTATCGCATGATTTTATGGGATGTTCTCTCTACAATATCTCTACGTGGTTCAAAGTAAGGCCTTTTTATGATTTATGATCTTACTATCTTTCCCTACAGACAGTGGAGTTCCTGAGGCAGCTATTTGTGTCATTACCACAGCAGCCATAGATGTACATCACCCAAACATATCTTCTGACCTGTTCACAGTGGATGTGCCAATGAAGATAGGAAGTACTGGAACTTCCACTAGTGCCACTTCAGGGAGTGTCTCCAGATCCACAGACAGCTCTGTAACTAGAGCCCAGAGTGACAGCAGCCAAACCTTTGGCTCCTCCACAGACTGCAGTACAACCCGGGAGGAGTCTTCTGAGTATTGTCCCTTAGAGAGGACGGGGAACACAAGACATGACCAAATCGATCCAAGGCAGAGGGTCAACAATGCAGTAGTTCAGGAACTGTTATCATCCTTATCAGAGGATTCATGCTTAACACAAAAAGGATTGGATCCAGTCAACCTCAAACTACCGACTCCAGCAGGTTCCACTACAGCCAGCCCCGAGCTGGAGCACAGAATGAACATTTACAACAGGAAGAACCAAGAGAGTTTTGACGTGTTCCAGATTAAACCAGCTATCCACTTTCAGCAGAATGCCCCAGTGATCGACGACAAGTACAAATCTTTGGACTCCAAAGAGCCAAAGTTAAACAGGGTCCCAGATTCATAGTTCTCCACCGTAGTGTGGAATAACAGGAGACGTTCTAAGCTTTAATGGTGCGCTCAGAATTACCATTGGCTGGATAGCTTGCTGCTTGCGTGGTTTGAATTAACTGAATATTCATAAATGCATGAGTTCTGAGAGCCAGCCGAAAACCATGACATTTCCAGGTTCCGAGGTCCTCGGGCTCAGCCCTGACAAGAGAGGAAACATTCTGTATTACAGAACAATGACCTCAAAGATGTACAGATTCTTAATCTTTGTTTTGCAAGGGTTTGTTTTTTTTCTAAAATAAACATTTTTTATGGGACTCTGAACAACCTTCTGTCAGGTCAGGCTTCAGCAGGGTATGATACTCATAAATGTAAACTTCTTCTAAAATTTCTTACCACCCCTTTGTACGTGATGACAGTTGTAAATCCCTTTGTACAAATACTGGCAATTATTTTTCTTCTTCCCCAAAACTTTTTTCAAGGAGCACTTTGGGCAATGCAGATTAAAGAAAACAAAATATCTGATCAGTTTTTATTTTTGCATGAACTCTTTAAAAAACTTATTTTGGAAAAAAAAAAAAAATATTGTTTTCACCGCCAAGCCAACATGGTGAGAGAACAATGGACATTTTGCAAATTCAATTTTAATTAAAAAACCAAGCAAACAAACTAAATGTTTGTTCTATGCTTTTGTTCACTGATGGTAGGGGCTGGGCTATAGGCATAATGAAATACTGCAGTTAGCTTCCACTTTGGGGAAAATATGTTAGTCTCATTTATTATGTGCCTCAGAGTTTGTCTACCCAGCTGACACATAATATATTGAAATGATTGGATTTGGCCAAAAGCCTTTTCTGATCTCAGTAACCTTAGTCTGAAGTGTTCGAATGTGAGTTAACTCTTAAGGTTTTCCTAGCTCTGGCCATGGATTTTACAATTCAGTATGACAGGAACGTGCTTATGCAGCTTGTGTGCAGGGGTAAGTTGCACTGGGGTGATCCTCTGAGACCCAGTGATGTCCTCTGGAGGGGGCACAAAGGGACCCCAGTACAGCCCGTCACATGGGCTACTGGGTATAGTCATCTTTATATATATATATATCTGTGTTGCTGCAGCACACAGAACTGATTGTATGGAAATACATAGAAGTTTCTGCCCTTTCAAGAATTCTGTGCTGGTCCTGGGAGAAGGTGTATTGATTCAAGTTGTAAAGCCCCAGCTAGCCTGGCAAGCGCGCACACAACTAGGATTTCAGCAGAAGTTGCCTACTCACTGCTGCCCCAACATGACTGCAGAGTAGTAGTAAGGCAAACTGAAGAAATCATTGGTTTTGCAGTAGTGGTTTTTTTGGTAGCCTGGCATACTTGCCAGTATTTCAACAGCAGGTTGAAATAAGAAAATAGGAGTTGGCATAGGAGGACAGACCAGTGGTCTGTTAGCCCAGTATCCTGCTTTCCACCAGCAGTCAGTGCTAGATAAATCACAGGAAGGTGAAACACCCACACTAATTGTGCATCTCTGTACTGAGTAGCAGAAAGACAATGTTCTGACCCCAGCAGATGATTGGCTATGTGCCTTTGCTAGTGAAACTGTGGTGCTGGGTTTAAGTCATAAATGTCTAAGCTGTTCACAAAACTTACTTTTGCCTCCAGGATCTTTAGCAGCAGAGAATTTTGTGACAAATTATATCTATGTTCTATTTTTAATTTGCTGCATCCTAATTTCATTGAGTGCCTCCTGTTCTTCATTTAGATAGCAAGCCATAAAATGAATTCACAATTACAACTACTGCTAAGCTCAAAACTAATCAGCTACTAAAGGCAAGACTTTTTTTTCTCCTTTTTTCAGATGGGCTCAACTCTCACAACTGGAGCCAAATTCTCCCAAATGCTCAGTCCTCATTCAGAAACTGGAGCTCCTGGGAGATAACTCCATGTTACTGTAAATGGTCATGAATAGGATATATCCAAAAGTTCCCTAAAATTGCCTTTGAAAGGAAAGCAGCACCTAATTTCCTTTTGAAAAAAATCACAATACTCAGTTTCCTGAAGAGCCTAACAGGGTAGCCAACTGCTACTCCCTTTGTGTTTTCATTTATGTTTTTAATTGATAAATGTGTCTGGTTTTAATTAAAAAGTCATATATGAACCTACTGTTTGCTAGTTCTGCAGTGGTGGTCAATACATTCCTGCACCCTATGCATTGCCTGAATTTGTACGTGCTTCCATACGGATTCTGATCAAAATGTTTGACCATAGAATTGATCCCCATCTCCTATGCTCTCATTTATGTATTTGGACAATAATACTTATTCATTAACATTCGGTTGAGTCTTTTTGACAGAGAAGTCAATAGCTGGAATACATTTCCAAGTAAGGTGCTGGGATCAAATGGCATTAATATATTTAAACAAAAATTGGATGACAGTGCAGAATTTGATCAATTTATGGAGGAGTATTAGTGCCATGCTGCAGGAAAACCAACTTCCTTTCTGCAGTCTGGAGGGTCATTTTGCTTTGATCAGACTTTCCCCACTGATCAGTAATAGGTTGAACATTTGCCTTACCATTTTTACTTTTTTTTTTTTTACTTTGCCTTTTTCTGAAACATCTGATTTTTAAAATCACAACAGTCAAATATTGATGCTGTCAGATTCTTCCAGGGTGTGTAAGTTGCTTCACCTGTAGCACAGCTGTATAACTATTTTATATACACCAGAGGCCCTGAGGCTGCAAACACTCATGCATGCAAGTGCTTAGCTTCACTACTGAGACTAGTCCCACAAATTTTTTTTCAATACTCACAGCAGTAAAGTTATCCAGCTGGATGGGTGCTAGCAGGATCTGGTAAAAAAAATTCAATTTTACCAAGTAATACAATGAACTGTTCATATAATACTCCTGTGAGCCATGTGTCCAGTGGGTATCTGCAGTTTTCATAGCTAAGAAGAGTACATTGCTATAAGTTTGTTTATGAAGTGCTGTGCATATTTTTGCAAGGTAAGGATAAAGTGTTGAAATGAGCAATCAGACCAAATCATCATCCGGCTACTGCTATTTGTTCTTGCCACAAAGAATAAGACTGGGAGAAATGGAAGGATGGGAGGTGATACTGTTGCCAGAGTGTGATGCCCCAGAGGTATAATGAGATGATCACATCCTTAGTAGCACAATCTAGCTTTGGAATGACAGAAAGGTGCCACTAAGGTTAACTGCTGTTCACTGCCTGGCTCTAAAAATCCACTACCTACTCTTCTCTACTGAATGGAGGATGGAGCACATCTTCAATTTAAATGAGAGGGGCAGGGAGGGTGGTGCAAAATTTGGGGTTACTTTTCCCCTATTCTTGCTGTTCCTTTTTAGCCTAATCATCATTGCAGGCTCTTCTCTTGGTCTTCTTTTTAATAGTGAAACTGGGGACTCTGTTTTTAAACCAAGGAGAAACAGAGCTGCAAGAGCTTCAGCCTGTGAGTGCATAAAGAAAGCTCAGCTCCATTATTGCATGAAATGTTCTGTTCCTAACTGCTATAGGCAGATGGTGCTGCACCGGCTCTCAGGGCTCCCTCTGCACTTGACTGACCAACTCATCAGGAAATGAGCTGGCCCACAAATGCTGCTCGTTGTTATCAAGAGCCATAATAGATATTGAATTTAAAAGAGAGAGAGAGGCAATACTTAACTCCTTAGGCTTGGGAGCTCATACTAAATGTAAACCACCACACCTTCTGTGCCCTGGGAAGATCCTCCTGATACTTAAACTGGGCCCTGTATTACCTGACCTAATGCTACAAAGGATTTGATTTGAAGTCCTTTGATCAAATTACTTTGCCCTCATGACCTGGATCCTTCTTTTGCTTTTAGGTGTTCCTTGGCAGACAGGCAAGTCCATTGGCTGGGATCAGCCACAGAGCCACATTCTCTGCTGTTATCTTCTGCCTCCCTGTGCCCAGTGGAGTTACGTTAGTTCATAGCTTTCTCTTTTCCCTGCATGTCACAGAGATGCTGTTTTCACTTTTCAGTAAAAGAAAGCCACCTGTACAAAGCAAAGCAAGCTACCACAGGCTAAAAGCTAGAGGGGAACATGCTATAGGCATTGTAAGTTTATACTGTTTTAGAGATTGTGTTTGTGAGATGTTCCAATAAGGTTGTCCTGACATGCTCAGCCAGACAGCCAAGTCTTTCTTCTTAGCCAAGCAGTGACTGAAAGTTGGTTGTTGGGCTCCAGCTCCCATCTCTCAGATCCAGGAGCAAAAACTGCTCCCATCGTTGCTCCTGGAAGCTGGAAGTGTTGGTTTCATTCCAGTGCTCAGAGCCGACTTTGAGATTAGGTGAAGTAGGTAAATAAATACCTACCTCAGTATGGAGATGGCAAAAAAAAAGATTAAATGTGAAATGCCTTTTATTCGCCACCAATGATTGCTTTCTGTTAAAACTGGAAAATCAGTAAGGTAGCCAAATTGCTGTCAGCAAACAGCAGACAGGCAGCTCTTTCTGTTCGGATGTGCCAGTTCTTATTGCTGTTTACAAGTTCCCAGATTAGCTTATACTTGTGCACACATGTAGTTGGCTAGTGGACTCCAGGGATAAAGCAAATCGTCACAACCAAGATTCAAGGTGCTAGTAACAGTCTCTGACGAAACCAGAAAGTTCTTTTGGAAACTCAGTATTGCAGAAAAAAAGCTGAAATAGAAGCCAGTGATCTGAAGCCATCAAGCATTTCTAAAATGTCAGAAAATAATTGTTCCAGATCTGCTGTGGTTGTCCTTAATGTTGAGATTCACCTTCACAAAGACATTTTCATTTCTTCTGATGGTTCCAGTAGGTCTGAAAGAAGAGAAAAAGAAGCAAAATGTTGTTCTGAGTGTGGTAGCTCCATCTGATGATGTGGCTGTGCCTTGGAGCAATAATAATTCAATTGTGCGAATTTTTTAAAGAAGGCAGAAGTCCCTGCAAAGGAGGTAACTGAGCACTGGTGCCCTGAAAAATTATGCCAAATGGCCTGTAATCCATGACAGAGCCTTTTTCCTTTTGTTGTGATTTTGGGGCCATTTCAAACACAGTGAAAGGATTTTCCTTTGGATGATAATGGAAGAAAATGTTCAGCTTTCCAGTTTTCAAGCCAGGCTTCTCTATCCTACGTCAGCTGATTCTGTTTATTGCTTCTGCCTCAAGCTGTTTAACTCTGGAGATTTTGCTTTCAGCCTGGAATGGTGTGCGAGACTGAAATAACATTTCGTGTCCTAGTGAAAGGTGAGCAGTAAGCAGATGATGCATACAGTAATTATATGGGAAGAGAATTGGAGATTAGACTGCAATACAATTGATCCAAAAAAATTCCAGAATAATTCTCTGATGGAGCAGCTACAAGCTGATTGGGAAAGGCTAATTGATTTGATCAAGCTGTACAGAATAAAAAACATTCCCCTCTGGAGTTTGATGGACATACTCCATTCAGTCCACCTCTAGGAAGCTTTTTTAAATTTGTGAAGCTTAATAGAAAACATGACCTTGAAATAGAAAAGC